CAATAAAAAGTATATTTTTTAAAAAAATAGAATATTCTTAGTATGATTTCAAGCCTCTTGAATTTGTTGATGCTAGTTATGTGACCCAACATATGGTCTATCCTTGAGAATACTCCATGTGCACTTAGGAATGTAGAATCTGATATCCTGAGATGAAAGGTTGAGTTAATGTCAACTATGTCCATTTGGTCTAGTGTTTCATTTAAGGCCAATATTTCTTTATTGATTTTCTTTTTGGTTGATCTGTCTAGAGCTGTCAATGGAGTGTTAAGGTCCCCACCTATGATTTTGTTTGGATTTGTTTCTCCCTATAGTTCTGTGAGTAGCTGTTTTATATATTTCGGTGGTCCTTGGTTGGGTGCATATCTATATTATAAAAGGCCTGTGGCCGTAATGCCATAATGACCACAGAATCAGTCACCCAGAGGTGCATTGATGAGCCTCGTGGCACCGCAGTTCTGGGGTCCCACCTCATGCGGCAGGTCTGGTGTCTGGGGTCCCATCTCGCATGGCAGGTCTGGGATCTGGGGTCTGGTCCCACCTCGTGCTGTGGGTCTAGGCTCTGGGGTCCCACCTCATGCGGTGGGTCTAGGGTCTCACGCGATTTCGGCTCACATGGTGTGACCCATAGGCTCTGATTGCAGCAAGGCTGGTGGCCAGCAGGCAGGCAGGACAGTGGGCAGGTGAGCGTGGCGAGGCACGTGGCTGCACGATTTCGTGTACTGGACTTCTAGTATGTTAAGGAATGTTATTTTTTTCTTCATGTAGTATTCCCTTTATCATTATAAAGTGTCCACCTTTGTCTCTTGTCATCTTGAAATCGATTTTGTCACATATACATATGGCTATAACTGCTTTTCTATAGATTTTATTTGCTTGGAGAATCATTTTCCACCCTTTTACTTTGAACCTACCTTTGTATTTGCAGCTTAGATGTGTCTCTTATAGGCATCATGTGGTTGGATTTTGTTTTATTTATCCACTCTGCTATTCTGTGTCTCTTTGTTGGTGAATTTATACTATTTATTTTACCGTTAGGATAATTACTGATGTATGAGAATGTCCAATAACCATTTTATCTTTTGTTTTCTGGTAGCTCTGTTCCTTCATTGGTTCTTTATGTTTCTGTCTGTGTGTTTTTGTTTGTGTGGTATTCCATACTTCCCTCCGTTTCCAAATTTTTTAAAGCTCTGTCCTGTTTTGAGAATTTTGTGTGTGGTTACCATTAGGTTTCTAAAAAGTAAAGTTTCATATATACCTTAATTTGGTTTTTTTTTAAGTGCATCTCATCTTCATGTTCCTATGCCAGCTTAGACTTTTACCCCCTCCCCTTTTATGTTTTTGTTCTCACAAATTATGCCTGTTTATGCTGTAAGTTTTTGGTGATCTTACTCATAGTCTTGTGACCTTACATTCTTTGTTTCAGGTACAATAAAGCGCTTGAGCATTGCCTGCAATGGCTGTTTTCTGGTGATAAAATTCCTCAATTTCTGCATGTCTGGAACATCTTTATTTCTCTTTTATATTCTAAGGAAAATTTTGCTGAACATATTATTTGTGGCCAGTAATTTCTCTCTTTCTGACTTGTGCCTATTTGCTCCCACTCTCTTCTGACTTGTATAGTTTCTGCTGAGAAGTCTGATGAAATTCTGATGGGTTTTCTTTTGTAAGTCCCTTCCTTCTTTTCCCTGGTTGCTTTGAGAATTTGTCATTGGTCAATAATTTTTGACAGTTTTAATATGAAGAGCGCTGGAGAGGACCTCTTTGGATTGAGGTAACTAGGTGCTCTATTTTCTTCTTGGATTCAAGGATCTAGTTCTTTCCATAGCTTTGGGAAGTTATCATCCACTATTTGTTTTAATAGACCAGCCATGGGCAAACTGTGGCCCGTGGGCTGGATCCGGCCCGTTTGAAATGAATAAAACTAAAAAAAAAAAAAAATAAAAGATCATACCCTTTTATGTAATGATGTTTAGTTTGAATTTATATTAGTTCACACAAACACTCCATCCATGCTTTTGTTCCAGCCCTCCGGTCCAGTTTAAGAACCCATTGTGGCCCTCGAGTCAAAAAGTTTGCCCACTCCTGGAATAGACTCTCTGTAATTGTCAACTCCCTCTCTTCCTCCACTGAAATGCCTATTATTCTAATGTTGCTTTTTCTGATGGTGTCAGATAGTTCTTGTAGACCTCTTTCATTTTTCTTTATGCTCAGGTCTCTCTTTTCTTCCCCATGCGTCATTTCTAGATTCTTCTCTTCGATATCACTAATTATTTCCTCCATCTGGTTGGCTCTGTTTCCTATGCTCAGTAGTTCACTCTTAAACTCATTAATTAATGCTTCTTTTCCAGGATTTCTCATTGGTTCTTTTTTAAAGTTTCAATCCCATTGGTAAAGTACTTGTTTTGTTCATTGATTTGTTTTCTGAGGGCATTGAATTCCTGTCTATTTGCTCACATTCTATTGAGTATTTTTTGAACGGCGATCTTGAAATCTGGCATTTATATCACATCTTTCCATGTGTCCCAGTTTGCTTTTGGGAGATTTTTCATTTTCTTTCTGATCAACCTTGTTACCATGATTATTCAGGGTATTTGCTGTTCTCTTTGCCTAGTCATTTATATCTGTCCATATTAATGGCGGACAATAGCTTCCTGTGAAGAGGCTTTTCAACTATTTTCCAGTAGATTGTGCTGAATTGCAAGAATTTTTAGCTCTGTGATCTCCTAGTCTTGACCCAGGGTTTCCTTAAGACTGTGCAGCTGCAAAGCTTGGAGGATGGGGTTTGTTTTGTCCTTAACATAATGGCAAACCCTGATTTCCCTGAGGTCCTGCCCCACGCACCCCACCTGGGGATCATTATAGAGGGAAACAGCAGTTCTGCTGAAATAGATCTTGGTTTACAGATAATGTGATCCTTGACCCAAATCCAAGAGCAAGGGGAGGAGAATTTGGGAGAGTCCAAATGCCACAGTGCTCTGTGATTCTATTTCTTTGTCAGAAACACCACTGTCCTGACCAACATTAGAGGGTTACAGAACAGAACCCAGTGCTCTGTTAGACATCTCCTCGCTGCTCTGCCTATTGGACTGCACCCTGCAATTCTCTGTTCCTCCAGGCCACAGGCAGCGCCTGCAACCACTGGGTTCCTCCCCTCTCCAGGATGCGCTGAAAGCTCCCCGCTGCAGGGCTGTATCTGTGCTTTCCTCCCTTCTCATATCCCAGTTTATTACTGGTTGCCCACGTTTAGATGTTTCTATGTGCAGGTCTCTCAAGCAGGCCTCTGTATTGAGCAGGGAATTCTTTGTTGAATTATAATTGTTTACGTGTTACATGTTGTAATTTCACTGGGAGAGGCCAAGGGGATCTCTCACACTTCCATTTCTCTTATGTCCACAATTTTCATTTATATTTACATAAACATTCCAGTCTTTTTTATTTAAATCAAGACCAAGGAATATAAACTGTTTAGATATAAAAATGATGGAGCCCGACCGGTGTTGCTCAATGGTTGAGCATCAACCTATAGGTCAGGAGGTCTCCTTTCATTCCCCGTAAGGACACATGCCTGGGTTGCTGGTTCTATGTCCAGTAGGGGGCGTGCATGAGGCAGTCAATCAATGATTCTCTCTAATCATTGATGTTTCTAACTCTCCCTCTCTCTTCTTCTCTGAATACAATAAACATGAAAAAAAAGAATGATGGAAAATAAAAATTTCCAGTTTCTCTAGGTATATAAAAAAGGAAGAATAGAGAAACATTATAAAAAAAAATTTACAAGGAGTTACAAGACACCAAAAGAGGCATGCAACAGATATATGAAAGGGAACTCATATGTACTATGTAATTGAGTGGCGATTTAGGGAATTAATACTAATGATTTCCACAAAAAATAAAAATAGCCTTCTAAAACATGTTCTATAAGCCAGATGTAACAATGATTTAATCAGTTAATAGTGGCCCTCTGTATATGACTTAGAATTTAAGAGATTTTTTTCTTTTGAAAAATATTTCAATACCAATAATAGAACTAGAAAATAAAAAAACCTATGATTATTGATAGTACATAAAATACATAAAGCAATTTGTAAAACAGAAAACAAAATGGGTTTTTCTAAGAAAATATTAGTTTAAGAGTTGCACCTTTAAAAAATTCTTGATAAGACTTAATAGAAATTTGCATGTTTCTATTTTCATGTTCTCTCAAAATTTAGTGAAATATCTGTACAAAAGCATTCACTTATTAAGAAATGTAATTTTTCCTAACACATGACAAAGAACCAATTGAAATTAAATAACATCTTAGATTCTTTAGAATTAATTTGCTATAAGAACTGTGCTATCATTCATCCATTTTCCCCTTTCTCTTCCTCTTCTACATTCTCCAACCTAGAATAGGGGAGAATTTATTTTACCTGTTAGCACATACTTAACAGGTAAAATAAATGAGAAACAAAACCTTACTAAATATCATCCACACATTTACTGGTTCCAGGTAATTTTACTTAAAGTGGTAGCATATCATAACAATTACCTTGAACTATAAGATGTGTGGATGAATTTGGAACAACACAGATGGATATTGAGGGTTATACTAAATGAAATAAGTCAGGTGGTAAAGGACAAAACCTCATGATTTCATTCATAACTGAAATATTAAAAAATGAACAAAACAACAAGTTCATACATACAAACAACAGATTATTGGTTACCAGAAGAAAAGTGGGTGGAGGGGGAAATGGGTAAAGGGGTTTAATTATATGGAGACAGATGGAATCTAGACTTTTGATGGTGAGAATGCTATAGTGTATACCGATATCAAATTATAATGTTGCATACCTGAAACTTATGTTATTAACCAATGTTGCCCCAATAAAAATAATCCCATACTAGTAAAACAAATGAATTTAGTTAACCAGCAAAGTCAATATGTTACAATTTACTCTTCAGCGTTTACTCATATTAAAGTTACTCAGTAACAAATTTTCTAGTGAACTTACATTCCAGTCAATATTTGCAAAAAAATGATGTCTTTTGATTTCCTCAACTCCTTCTGAACCTATAAAAACAGAAAGACTTTTTACTGGTGTAATTTTTTAAAATCTTTATACCTGGCTTTTAAGCTGTGATCTATAAAGAGCAATACACACACTTTATCGATTCCTTGTAGTGAAAGGTTTAAGACATCTCATATTATCTTTTATTATAATTGCTTCTTTCAATTTAATGTGAAAAAATTGAAGCACATAGAACAAAATTAAATATTGAAATGCCTTCCAAATCGAATCAAAATCATGTTTAATACAACTTTGAATTTAGGTACATTTTCTTCATAGTTGAACCTATGACCTCATATCTATAGGTCAAAATAAAAGTACAACATAATAAAGTGACTTTGAAATTTTAACATAAGGTCATAAATAGGGTAGATGAAAGGATTACATCTGGGTCTAGGGTAAGGCTACCTGAAAGTGGCCAAGTAATAAGTTATAGAAACATAATATTTACATTTAATAATATTGGAAGGACAAAACAATTATCTTCAAAAATCAAAAAAGATTACCTATACAAGTCTGTGAACTATTTCAAAAAATGAATGCATATGATATATAATTATATATATATCAAACAGAAATACTGAATAACTAGACCACTCTATTTTTAAATCATCGACATACAGAATTTACTGTAATCATTGCATATACAAAATGCAAAGTTCTAGGTATAAATAGCAGCAGTAAAAGAACTTAAGTCAGAAAACATAAAGTTATAATTATCATCCCAAAGCCTGCAGTATATTGATACAAAAGCTAAGAAAATAAGCAATACCCAATCTATTTGCTGGATTCCTTTTGAATAACATCCTTAGAAGACTTTGTGCTTCAGCACTAAGAAACTGAGGCATTCCAAGTTTTGCTCTGGAAAAGAAGATTTTAGAAAATTTCATTAAAATCTAGCCACACTTCTAAATTTACAAATTTCAAAAATAATTTTAAAGAATGTTTTCACAGTGGTAAATAATGTCCCCATAGCATAAGAGAAGGGAATAAGGCAGTGTGGAAAATGTTATTTTGTGTCAATTTAAATCCACAAGTTTCTCAAAACTGAAAGCAAGAGCACTTGATAAAACCCAGCACCCATTTATGCTAAAAACTCTCAGCAAAGTGAGAATAGAGGAAACATACCACATGTAATGAAGGCCATAAAGGATGAACCCACAGCCAAGATCATACACAATGGGCAAAAACTACAAGCATTTCCCTTAAGACTGGGGACTAGACAGATGTCTGCTTTTAGCACTCTTATTCAACATAGCACTGGAAGTCCCAGTCATAGCAATCACACAAGTAAAACAAATGCCTTCTAAAGTGGAAAGAAGTAAAACTGTCCTTATTTGCAGACGACATGATACTGTATATGGAAAACCCCAAATACACCACCAGAAAACTACTAGAACTGATAAGGGAATTTAGTAAAGTAGCAGGACAAAAAATAAATATTGAGAAATTAGTTGCATTTTTATGCACCCAAAAGGAACTAGGAGAAAGGAAAACTAAGAAAACAATCCCATTTACAATTGCTTCAAAAAGAATAAAATAGCTAAAAATTAATTTAACCAAGGATGTAAAAGACCTGTACTCAGAAAATTATAAGACACTGGAGAAAGAAATTGAAGAAGATGCAAATAAGTGGAAACAAATACCGTGTTAATGGATAGAAAGGATGACTATCATTAAAATGTTCATGTTACCCAAAGCAATCTACAGATTGAATACAATTTCTATTAAGATACCAATAATGTATTTAACAGAACTAGAACAAATATCCCAAAAATTTATATGGAATCATAAAAGTCCCCAAATAGCAACAGTGAGTGATCTTGAGAAAGAAGAACGAAGTTGTACGAATCATACTACCTGATATCAACTATATTACAAGGCCATAGTAATCAAAATAGCATGGTACTGGCATAAAAAGAGACATCTATCACATGATCTCACACATAAGTGGAAATTTAAAGAACAAAATAAACTGATGAACAAAATAGACCCAGAGACATAAATACATGGAACAGAGTGTTGAATCTGAGGGAAGATGGGAGTGGGTGGGTGGGAAGGGATTAACCAAAAAACTTATATGCATATATGTATAAACCATGGACACAGACAATAGTACTAGTATGGTAAAGGCCTGGGGCAGGGGGCAGGTGCAGGCTAGAAGGGATCAATGGGGAAAAAAGGGACATCTGTAATACTTTCAACAATAAAGATAATTTTTTTAAAATAAGAAGAAATAAAAACAGTCATATAGAACAATGGAACCAAATTGACAGCTCAGAAATAAATCCACACCTTTATAATTAATTCATATTTGACAAATGAGACAAAAGCATATAATAGACTTAAGATAGTCTATTAAATAAGTGGTGCCTGGAAAATTAGAAGATACATGTAAAAAAGTGAAACTATACCACTTTATTACACCACACACAAGAATAAACTCAAAATGGACTAAAGACTTAAAATATTAGCCCGGCTGGCATGGTTCAGTGGTTGAACATTGATCTATGAACTAGGAAGCCAGGAGGTTGCAGTTGGATTCCTGGTCAGGGCATATGCCTGGGTTGCAGGCTCAGTCCCCAGTGTGCAGTGTGCGGGAGACAGCAGATCAGTGATTCTCTCTCATTATTGATGTTTCTATCTATCTCTCCTCCCTTCCTCTCTGAAATAAATAAAAAATATTTATTTTTTAAAAAGTCTTAAATGTTAGACTTGAAACCCTAAAAATCCTAGAAGAAAACACAGGCAGTAAAATCTTGTACATTTCTCATAGCGATATTTTTTTCTGATATATATCCTTGGGCAAGGGAAACAAAAGAAAAAAATAAACAAATGGGACTACATCAAACTAAAAAGCTTTTGCACAGGAAAGAAAACCATCATCAAAATTAAAAGACAACACACTGAACAGGAGAACATATTTGCTGATACATCTGCTAAGGCTTTAATATCCAACATTTATAGTGAACTTACAAACCGCAAAATCAAAAAACAAACAAACAACACAAAACAATACAATCAGAAAATGGGTGAAGGAACTGAATAGACACTTTGTCAAAGAGGACATGTCACTGATCATCAGAGAAATGAAAATTAAAACCACAAAGGGATATCATATCATACCTGTTTGAATGGCTATCATCAACAAATCAACAAACAAGTGTTGCTAAGGATGTGGAGAAAAGGGAACCCTCGTGAGCTGTTGGTGTGAATGCAGATTGGTGCAGCCACTGTGTAAAGGTGTATGGAGTAAACTCAAAAAGTTAAAAATGGAACTGCCCTATGACCAATTGATTCCACTTTCTGGGAATTTAGCTGAAGACACCCAAAACACAAATTTGAAAAAAGAAAATGTGCACCCTTATGTTCACTGCAGTATTATTTACAATAACCAAGTTTTGGAAGCAGCCCAAGTGTTCATCAGTAGATGAGTAGATAAAACAGCTATGGAATACTACTTGGTCATAAAAAATGAAAAGGGAAATCTTGTCTTTTTGGACAGTATGGATGGACCTAGAGAGCATTATGCTGTGAAATCAGTCAGAGCAAGACGAGTACATATGATTTTGCTCATATGGGGAACCT